GACATGAGTAGACTTTGGCACTACAGATTGGGGCATACAGGAGAGAAATCACTGCAGACTTTGAGCAAGCAGGGGCTATTAAAAGGAGCCAAGAGTGGAAAAGTGGATTTTTATGAGCACTGTGTTCTTAGCAAGAAAACGAAGGTAAAGTTCGGGACTGCTATTCATAGGATGAGGGGCATCCTGGACTACGTGCACATAGATGTTTGGGGTCCCACCAAGACAGCATCACTTGGTGGTCGATATTGGTTCGTCATGTTTATTGATGGCTATTCTAGACGTTGTTAGGTGTACACCATAAAGCATAAGTATAAAGTCCTAGAGTTGTTTGTAGAGTGGAAGAAGAGATTAGAACTGCAGACTGAGAGAAAGATCAAGACGTTGCGATCCGACAACGGCGGCGAGTACACTTCAGACCCCTTTCAGCAGCTATGTCGAGATGAGGGCATAGAGATGTACTTCACAGTTAGTCATACACTGCAGCAGAATAGGGTGACAGAGAGGCTGAATCAGTCTTTACTAGAGAAGGTCTGATGCTTATTAGCGTAGAGTGGTTTGGATAAGATCTTTTGGGCTGAGGCACTTACATATGCGAGCCACCTCATTAATAGGCTGCCTTCATCTGCGATTGAGGGGAAGACCCCCATGGAGATATGGTCGGGAGAGACAGTACATGACTATGACAAACTCAAGGTATTTGGTTGCCCTGCATATTATCATGTTAGAACAGATAAATTAGAACCTCGAGCTAGGAATGCCATATTTATAGGATTCAAGCGTGGTGTCAATGGATACAAGCTATAGGATCCAGTTAATAGGAAGATTGTGCTGAGTAAGGACGTCACATTCGATGAGACTTCTATCTTGAAGCTTCTCAACTCTCATCAGGTGGAGGGCGACCCAACAGAGGAGATATCACAGGTGGTAGAGATCGATGCAGATTCACAGTATTCAGATGGTGCAGTATCCATTAGAGTGCCGACTGAGGTGACGCCAGGTGAGCACGACGATGACACGGAGGATACGGGTACTGATGTGCAGGATCATGGACCGACGGTTTAGGTTCAGGATTCTATTGTGGTTCGGAGACAGAAGAGAGATATACGGGTGCCAGTACGGTATGCCGACACAGTTACGTATTCACTTCTGGTAAAGGGTATCGATAAGATGATACCTACTACTTTCAGAGAGACCGAGCAGAGTTCGGAGACTGATTCGTGGCAGATAGCTATACAGGAGGAGATGGAGTCTCTTCATAAGAACGATACATGAGAGCTTGTTAAGCTTCCAAAGGGACGTAAGGCGATTAGTTGCAAGTGGGTATACACGAAGAAGGAGGGCATTGAGGTTACTCCATTGAGGTTCAAAGCTAGGTTGGTTATGAAGGGCTATGCACAGGAGGAAGGTATTAACTATAATGAGGTTTTCTCTCCGGTGGTGAAGCACTCTTCTATTCGGATTTTGCTAGCTTTGGTGGCACAATATGAATTAGAGTTAGATTAGTTGGATGTGAAGACTGCATTTCTTCATGGTGATCTTGATAAAGAAATATATATGACTCTGTCATTAGGATTCCGAGCTGCAGGGAAAGATAAGTTGGTTTGTAGGTAAAAAAAATCGCTATACGAAATGAAGCAGTCTCCTTGACAGTGGTATAGGCGGTTTGATGGTTTTATGTTTGGTCATTCGTACACTCGGAGTCAGTTTGATCCTTGCGTGTATTTTCACAAGTTGAGAGGAGGTGCGTACATTTATTTGTTACTTTATGTCGATGACATGTTGGTTGCCTCTATTTTCAGGTCGGCTATTGATGAGTTGAAAGTTTAGCTTTCAAATGAGTTTGAGATGAAGGACTTGGGCGAGGCGAAGTGCATTTTAGGGATGGAGATTAGCAGAGACAAGAAGAAGGGTAAATTTTGTTTGACACAGATGGCTTATTTGAAGAAGGTTTTACAGCGATTTCATGTTTGCATTGATACGAACCCGGTTAGTATACCATTAGGATCCCATTTGAAGCTTCAGCTAGTCTTTCATCGAAGTCAGTTGAAGATCGAGAGTTAATGTCAAAGACTCCATATGTGAGCGCGGTTGGGAGCTTGATATACGCGATGGTATGTACGAGACCGGATTTTTCACAGGCGGTGAGCATAGTTTCATGCACGATCCAAGAGTGGGTCATTAGGACACCGTGAGATGGATTTTGATGTACATTCGAGGTACGCTCAATGTTGATTTGGTTTATGAGCGGAACACTATAGGTAGGCAGTTGTGCATTGGATATGTGGATTCGGATTATGCCGGGGATTTGGATAAGCGCCGGTCTATGATGGGGTAGGTGTTCACCTTGACCCGTGCGTCGGTGTGTTGGAGATGCACCTTACAGTCGACGATAGCTTTGTCTACGACGGAGACAGAGTATATGGTAATTACGGAGGCTATGAAGGAAGCTATTTGGTTTTGGGGACTTTTGGAGGAACTTGGTATATCATAGAGGTTTGTCACTATTTATTGTGATAGCATGAGTGCTATCTATTTGGCGAAGAATCAAGTTTTTCATGCGAGAACGAAACACATTAACGTTCGTTATCACTTCATTCGAGATGTTCTTGAAGATGGCAATGTGGAGATTATGAAAGTCCACACGAAGGATAATCCGGCGGATATGCTCACTAAGGTGGTTCCTAGCAACAAGTTTGATCATTGTAGAAACTTGTTGCATATTCCTGATTGTTGAGGCCGTTGGTGGCCATTTGGATGAACTACGGACGGCTTGATCCCTTGAGAGAGGGGGTACGTAGGCAACCATGTTGGTGCAGCCGTATTTGGAGAGACGACGCATTGATGCTCTTTGTTTGGTGTCGACTCAGTTTTGATAAATTTCGCCGAGGTGGAGAATTGTGGAAGAATTCAGAAATCCAGTTTTCAGATTGTGAGTCGACTCATACATGCACATGAGTCGACTCATCAGGTTGAGTCGACTCATACATGCACATTGTGAGTCGACTCATACATGCACATGCAGCCGTATTTGGAGAGACGACGCATTGATGCTCTTTGTTTGGTGTCGACTCAGTTTTGATAAATTTCGCCGAGGTGGAGAATTGTGGAAGAATTCAGAAATCCAGTTTTCAGATTGTGAGTCGACTCATACATGCACATGAGTCGACTCATCAGGTTGAGTCGACTCATGCCTATCATGAGTCGACTCATGAAACCCAGCCGTTTTGTCACAAGTTTCTGATGAGTCGACTCACCTTAGTCATGAGTCGACTCATCGAGATGGTTTTTTTTTGTCAAGTCTCTGACGAGTCGACTCACCTCAGTCATGAGTCGACTCATCGACGGTTTCCTGGTTCGTTTGGGTCTCTGTTTGCATGAATTACTATGCGGTTTGGGCTTGGTTATTTACCACTTTGTCACCCACATTGTTACACATATAAAAAGGGTTGTTTAGGGTTTCATATATAGTAGAGAAATAAGAGATTTGAGCATTGTGAGAGGGAGATATTGTGAGCAAGTTGAGAGCTTTGGTTGAGGGTTAGTTGGAGTGATTTTGTGTAATTGTAACCTTTTTGTACTCTCCTTGATTTAGTTGAATCTCCCCATCCTCTCCCCGTGGACGTAGTCAAATTGTCGAACCACATATATCTCTTTGTTTGGTTTAGATTTGTCGTATTTGGATTGGATTGTGCTTGTGTGTGGTTCTCTTCTTCTCAGTGATCTCAGACTCGTTTTTGGGCTTGGTTATTTACCACTTTGTCACCCACATTGTTACACATATAAAAAGGGTTGTTTAGGGTTTCATATATAGTAGAGAAATAAGAGATTTGAGCATTGTGAGAGGGAGATATTGTGAGCAAGTTGAGAGCTTTGGTTGAGGGTTAGTTGGAGTGATTTTGTGTAATTGTAACCTTTTTGTACTCTCCTTGATTTAGTTGAATCTCCCCATCCTCTCCCCGTGGACGTAGTCAAATTGTCGAACCACATATATCTCTTTGTTTGGTTTAGATTTGTCGTATTTGGATTGGATTGTGCTTGTGTGTGGTTCTCTTCTTCTCAGTGATCTCAGACTCGTTCAGTGTGCGCGTGCACGCTTCTGCATAGTTGCGCGACACCGGTGTTCTGGTACGCAACAGATATTATTGAGTCTTTTTCATGTAATCCCTTTTATTTAGTCCATTATTGAGTCTTTTTCATGTAATCCCTTTTATTTAGTCCATCTATGACCACACGTGTAGAAGTCCATCTATGTCCACATATTACTATGATTAAATATTTTTATGTCCAAAACAGACTGCCGCGATACGAGACATGTTCTCCTTTTGTCCCCCACCTTTCATGCATGAATATAATATATTAATTGATGTTGAAAACATTAGTCGGATGTTGGAGTTAACTACTTACGCTTAAACAGAACTATGATCTTTCCTTGCACAGTTTCTCCGTTCTCAAAGACAAGCTACATATCCCAGCTAAACCCTTCATGCTATATGGTTGTCATGACAATATCTAGTACCTTGCACAGTAATCTGAATCATCTCTTGATTAGTTTGTTAAGATCTGGAACTCGTACGTACTCTTGAGCATTTTAGGAACAAATACTACATAATTTGTTGTTCCGACAACATTTGAAGCTTACGGCTATTCATGCCCATTAGTAGACACGGCCTTCTTTCTGCCTTCAAAATTCAAATAGCACAAAATATTACTTGCATACAATTTGCCGGGCTTAGACATCGCACATATACATCAAATGAGTACATAACTAGCAGAGCAACTGAAATTTGCAAGCATTTACTTACCCAGCTTACTGTAAGCTAGATTTCCTTGCTTGCAAGCACAACCGATTCGACCTCTGGCATTTAGAGCACAATTACCTCAGAAGCATTCAGCATTCTGCTAGCTAAGATTATTTGTAATCCAAGTTACAATAGACAACCATAACAATCCCTCATAGAGTAAGCATATGAATATCAATATGGAGCTCAAAAACTGAGTTATAAGTAGTCTCCTGCCTCGGAACATCAGATATAAATGATACATAAGAAACAATAACATAATTACACATTTTAGTAGAGAAGGACATCCAGAGATGCCCAAGGATATTGAAGTCTTTTACTTATACTTAGATACTAGCATTATATAAATTATATTACATTCCTCACATCTCTCCCCATCTCTCTCGGAATGATCCATATAAAGTTATTACATATATATACCATTTTATGAGTATCCCCCTTAAACCCAGCAAGAACTCGCCCTGAGCCGTGACAGCAGCAATTTAGGCATTATGCTCACCATTTTATCGGCTTATCATCTGATTGCTCGCCTTATTGCCGCTGCTAACCATCATGATCATCGTCGTTCACAAGATATCATCGAATATTGTTGACAGCACAAGCCCCTGAGCAAACTTGCTCCTTCGAGCTCTCTCCTCCTGGTCCTTGTCAGAAAGGATGGGCTGGTTGCTGAAGAGACAAAATGCAAGATTTATAGTAGTCCGAAGAAAATTTAGGCACGGGCCTACACTTATAAAGAATGGAGTCGGTTTTAAAGCTTTTCATACTCCAATGCCCACAAGCATATTAAGGTAAGATTCAATGCTACTTTAGGAACCCAAGGAAAAGAAGGGGAAAAACAGACAAACAAATAAACATAGTCAATGGCTATGGACAACAGGTGAATATCCATGTACCTCACTGTTGATCCTGAGAAATGGAGGCTTTAGCCTAAAAATGGTCATTATTTAAAAGATGCAAGGTTACTTCGCTTTTTCAGGGTAAAAAAAGCCAGGTCATATTCCCAGGAAAAGCTTGAACAGCCTTCAAGAATTGTCCAATCAATATGGATTTTAGTTCACTAATCTAGTTGATGAGATAGCACCTTGGTGAAGAGAACCAAAATAAACCTAAGGTAGAGAGAGCACTTTGGTGAAGAGCACCAAAATAAACGTAATTAAGGTAGCACAAAAGAAACACGTCCCATGAAGAACTAAAATCAATTAATTGCCTACTCAACATATGATCAGCATATGCATCAGACCTCTCCTCCAATAAAACAATTGGCGATGCATATCGTTTCCATCTCAAATCTCTCTTCAGTTGAGACAAGCACTTGTACTTACTGGGCAATTGATTGGAGACTTACAAACACAACAACCTTGATTTGTTTTAATTGTTTAAACAAGCATGCATAAGCTCTGCGATTTAAGCCATTCTAAAAGAGAAAACGTATAATAGGATATACTTGCTTTATTAATATCCAAGCAATTAAGTATCTTACATATAGACAACAAAAGCACATTAACCAATGTATGTTCATAAACAACATCAATAATCATATATTTTTGCCCATGAGTTTTGGAAGGGCGTGCCCAACACTGATAATTGGAATACAACACTAATGCCCGCGCCACCAGATCAGATTGAAGGTGTAACAAAGGCAATTTTGCTCCAAGAGAAACATTGATAAACAACTAGTGCTGATTTTCAGAATTTCTTTTTTAAGTGCACTTTGGAAAAACCTTAAGATAATGTGGCCATACAAACTCTAGTCCTTGATTTTCTGTCTGATGAACCTAGCTCATGTGTTTGTCCCAAGTATCAGGTTCATCAGAGAAGAAAAAGTAGTAGTACAGTCTATCACTTATAGTCAACTTTGCAGAAAACAAGTCTATTATTTATAGTCAACTTTGCATAAAACAAGCCTATTATTTATAGTCAACTTTGCATAAAACAAGTCTAGTTAAGTTCCAAGGTCAAAGTATCAGTTCATGGAAAGTGGAAACATATAAAAATATGCATACATTATGGGCGAGAGCAATGACAGCAAAAGTAGATTTCCAAGAACTCTTAGGTCCTACCTTTCGATCGGTTTGTCCTCTGAAGCCTCACTATCCATGTTTCTATCGTCTAAGGTCTGAGACTCTCTTGGTGGATCAGCTACTGGTAGGTTGGTAATAAATGATGACAACAATGGATCTGGTGCTGCACTAGATGGAGGAGACAAATAGGACGAACCTCCAAAAAGAGATTGTAGATTTCCTTCACGCAGTTCCTTTCTCAACAGAGAAAGTGTAGACTGTGACGCAGATGAACCTCTACGGAATCTCCTTCTACGTTGCATGTGAGATTTTGTTAAGGAATTCAAAATATAAGCCAAACTAGCACAAAACTTACTGATAGAAAAATTCAACATCCAAAGTACATTACATATGAAAGCTATCTGAAATTTACCACCTACACTAATGGTCAGGAAGATAAGAGAACATGGGGAAAAAGGGGGGAAAGAAATGTATTCAGGTAAAGATTAAAGGATATCTTAAAGAAATTCCCATGCTGTGTGGTTATGTGACCAACCATGTCCATCCCAACCCTCGCTGCACAAACAGGACATACCTGCAAAAAGGACTTTCCATGTGTCAATAGCAGGCATGATTCAACATAGAGAATTATGAAATCAAAGCATAGAACCTTCCCTGGTTCGGTGAATAATAATTGCCCTCGAAAACCCATTTAATAACTGAGGTTCTAACTGAAAGCGCTGGAGAAATCAATCGGGAAAAAAAGGCATGGTAGGACAAAAGCGAAACCACTCACGTTCAGAACGAGAAACAAGCCCAAAAATTTAATGGCTAAACAATACAGACATACAGCCTCCTTGGACTATAGGAGAACTTAAACTGGTAAGTTTATGTTTATTACAATATAAGGCCTGTCTATAGAAGTATACATACATCTTTACAAGTTTACGTTAATTAAGGACTAGGCAGAAATCAAGCGAGCCTGTTATTTCGTTTTGCAGTAAACTAAGTTGGCCCTTGGGTATTTAAAAATAAACTTTATCACACGTAGGTTTCGATTCCTCGTCACACTAATTTAAGACAAGGACGGGAACCAGGCAGGCCTGTTGTTTTACACTATGCTATAAACAAACAAGGAAGCTTGAAGTTGCCTGAACAAAATCCCACATATTTTGGTTCTGAGATTAACTTTCTTCACTTTAACTCCCAAAAAACATGATTTGCTAAAGAAGAATACCTATGCTGCATATTGAAATCTGCACTATATGATTACACTGAAAGTAAGTACCTCTATCCTAATAAACAACTCAACTTCATATATTAATGTGTGATAGTATGGTCCTTCATCTAGATTTAGAAAAAACTGTCAGCGTCAAGCAGATAACCTTCCCTAAATGAGATGTTAATCACATGCCCATAGGAAAATGCTTTTCAACAAGAAGGTAAAAGGCTACTGTTGGTTGCAAACATATGAGAGACATCCCTTCAGTAGTGTCTTTAAGTGCTTTGAAATCACAGAACCAAAGAAGCATTTTGAACAATAACTCCAAGAAGCTTAGTTGATGCACATCATCAATAGTTTCCATTGTTAATATAACTCCTTTATCTAAGTTGTAAAGTATTTGCTATGCACAAGCGTAATTGTCAATCTTAGTTAAGACTAGAGGAAATAGCCAAAGCCTTCACGCCATGTAACTATGAAACTGATATCAGGTAGATGCTCATAATTACTTTACAGTTCAATCACGCCTTAGTTGACAGATACTCTAAAAGTAAATTTAGAAAAAATGTACTCTACATCCATCATGCAGGTCTTATAGAAACCACTATAATTTATAACAACATTTTGGCACTAGAACAAATATGAAAACTTTACACTACTGCAATTGCTCAAATTAAGTACATGCTGCCTTGCTCTAGAAAGAGGGTTCAGGATCTGTAGCATCCTATGTGTCTACTCATATCCAAATCATATGCTTCTTCCTTTTTCTCTCTCTTCCCCTTTTTCTTTGCTGATATATGGTATCCAGGCCCTCCTGAAGCACCCGCCTAATTCCTCGGTCATGTGATGCCCCCCTCAACCAAACATCAGTTGATCTTTCACAGGCAAGAATTACTTTTTGATGGCTCATTGCAGGAGGTAGGAAGCAAATACAAGATTAACTGCTTAGAGAAGGTTTTGTGCTATAATAATTATTTTATGTCGGGCAAGAGCTAAGCTGATAACCATTATCATCCCAAAAGAATGAAACTCAATGCAATCCTGTTAAACATACACATGAAACAAAGGATTAAGAAATCAGTTAACAAAACTAGTAGCAATTACACAATTGTTATCATGATCAAGCCCAGTGATTCTCCAACCTAACTTTTCACACCCAATTGCATCATGAAGTGAATGGACCACAGCTCAAACTTACATTACAATGTTTTTCCACAAACCACAGTGCTGAGAAAGCAAAAATGGTTCTTCAAATTCATTACTTTCACTAAGGCCACATCTGTATGCTTTTATATTGAAAACATAGTACTTAGTATGTGAACAAAATCACTCACCACCGTCAACAGATACATATCAATGGGGGGGAAAACAAATTTACATCAAATTATCACAAAAAGACAACTTATTATTTACTAAAAAGGACAATTTATTGTCTAGTTCAATAAGCTAATAGGAAAAAATATATATTGTCTAGTTCAATAAGTTAAAGAAACAGCAACTAATCAGCTTCAGGAGATGACTAAAACAAGGAAATCCAGCTCCAAAATTCTACCTTATAAATATATTGTCTAGTTCAATAAGTTAATAAAAATCAAGTAATCAAGATCTTTATCATGCAACTGGACTGGAAAAAGCTCACTTCTTTTCAATCCCAACCAAATGCTTATCATTGTCAAACCTCCCATTCACTGCACCAAAACTCCGAAGTTGTTATAAGGTTGAGTTTTATAATCTAACAAATACCATAGACCTAACCAAAAAATGCTCAATGTACTAAATTTTCGCTAAAAGATGCAGAACAAACTTAAACAATAAAGAACAGTCCATAAAAACCATTCCTAAAACATGTTCAACAAAAGGAAACCTCATCTATCAAATAGTAACCCCCAATCCATCAACCAAGACGCCATTTTGGAAACACAGAACCAATATCCAAACCGAAACATTCATCAAATACCAAAATTAAACAATAAAATAGAATAAAATACCCCATTTTTAGCTTCAACAGGATGCTCCTCATCAATATGACAGCATAACCCAACAATATCAAAATCCTCAGCACAGAAGGGGCACCCGAACTCCGCGCGGAAATCGTCCTCCCCTCCTTCGACGTCATCAAACCCTAGGTACAGATCTACCAACAAACCACAAAACCGGTCACACCCACATATACAAATCGGCAAAAAGAGATCAACTTTGAGGAAATCAGCGCACCGAATCGAGATTGAAGAGTCGATTGATGGCGCCTCGATGCAGCGGAGAATCGGCTCCATGAATCGGACTCCATAGGGTTTGGATGCGGTCGAATCTGGGGAAGATACCCTAGCGGAATAGAACCCTAGAGCGCTGGATTTGGTAAAAATGGGGATATTTATTAATCTAGGGTTGAGAGAGAGAGAGAGAGAGAGGACGACGGAGAGGACGAGCGACTAAG